GGAATAAATGTATGTATGGATGGGGATGAAGACCGGATGTCTAAGTACAATAAATGTACGTATAGATGGAGATGCAGACCTGATGTCTAAGTGGAATGGATGTCTAAGTAGAATAAATGTATGTATGGATGGTGGTGATGACCGGATGTCTAAGTGGAATTAATGTATGGATGGATGGATGGTGATGATGACTTGATGTATAAGTGGAATAAATGTATGTATGGATGGTGATGATGACCGGATGTCTAAGTGGAATAAATGGATGGATGGATGGTGATAATGACCAGATATCTAAGTGGAATAAATGTATGTATGGATGGTGATGATGACTGGATGTCTAAGTGGAATAAATGTATGTATGGATGGTGATGATGGCCGGATGTCTAAGTGGAATAAATGGATGGATGGATGGTGATAATGACCAGATGTCTAAGTGGAATAAATGTGCGTATGGATGGTGATGATGACCTGATGTCTAAGTGGAATAAATGCATGTATGGATGGTGGTGAAGACCTGATGTCTAAGTGGAATAAATGTATGTATGGAGGGTGGTGATGACCTGATGTCTAAGTCGAATAAATGTACGTATGGATGGTGATGATTACCGGATGTCTAAGTGGAATAAATGTATGTATGTATGGTGATGATGACCGGATGTCTAAGTGGAATAAATTTATGGATGGATGGATGGTGATGATGACTGGATGTCTAAGTGGAATAAATGTATGTATGGAGGGTGGTGATGACCTGATGTCTAAGTCGAATAAATGTACGTATGGATGGTGATGATGACCGGATGTCTACGTGGAATAAATGGATGGATGGATGGTGATAATGACCAGATATCTAAGTGGAATACGTATGGATGGTGATGATGACCTGATGTCTAAGTGGAATAAATGTACGTATGAATGGTGGTGATGACCAGATGTCTAAGTGGAATAAATGTATGTATGTATGGTGATGATGACCGGATGTCTAAGTGGAATAAATGATGGATGGATGGTGATGATGACCAGATGTCTAAGTAGAATAAATGTATGTATGGATGGTGATGATGGCCGGATGTCTAAGTGGAATAAATGGATGGATGGATGGTGCTAATGACCGGATATCTAAGTGGAATAAATGTATGTATGGAGGGTGGTGATGACCTGATGTCTAAGTCGAATAAATGTACGTATGGATGGTGATGATTACCGGATGTCTAAGTGGAATAAATGTATGGGTGATGACCTGATGTCTAAGTGGAATAAATGTACGTATGAATGGTGGTGATGACCAGATGTCTAAGTGGAATAAATGTGCGTATGGATGGTGATGATGACCTGATGTCTAAGTGGAATAAATGGATGGATGGTGATGATGACCAGATGTCTAAGTGGAATAAATGTACGTATGAATGGTGGTGATGACCAGATGTCTAAGTGGAATAAATGTATGTATGGATGGGGATGATGACCGGATGTCTAAGTGGAATAAATGTATGTATGGATGGTCATGATGGCCGGATGTCTAAGTAGAAAAAATGGATGTATGGATGGTGATGATGACCGGATGTCTAACTAGAATAAATGGATGTATGGATGGTGATGATGACCGGATGTCTAGATATCTAAGTGGAATAAATGTATGTATGGAGGGTGGTGATGACCTGATGTCTAAGTCGAATAAATGTACGTATGGATGGTGATGATGACCTGATGTCTAAGTGGAATAAATGTATGGATGGATGCTGATAATGACCAGATATCTAAGTGGAATAAATGTATATGACCGGATGTCTAAGTGGAATAAATGTATGTATGGACGGTGATGATGACCTAATGTCTAAGTGGAATAAATGGACGTATTGATGGTGATGATGACCGGATGTCTAAGTAGAATAAATGGATGTATGGATGGTGATGATGACCGGATGTCTACGTGGAATAAATGGATGGATGGATGGTGATAATGACCAGATGTCTAAGTGGAATAAATGTGCGTATGGATGGTGATGATGACCTGATGTCTAAGTGGAATAAATGTACGAGTGGAATAAATGTACGTATGGATGGTGATCATGACCGGATGTCTAAGTGGAATAAATGTACGTATGGCTGGGGGTGATGACCTGATGTCTAAGTGGAATAAATGTATGGATGGATGCTGATAATGACCAGATATCTAAGTGGAATAAATGTACGTATGGATGGTGATGAAGACCTGATGTCTAAGTGGAATAAACGTATGAATGGATGGTGGTGATTACCTGATGTCTAAGTGGAATAAATGTATGTATGGATGGTGATGATGACCAGATGTCTAAGTGGAATAAATGTATGTATGGATGGTGATGATGACCGGATGTCTAAGTAGAATAAATGTATGTATGGATGGTGATGATGATCTCATGTCTAAATGGAATAAATGTTCATATGGATGATTTCTGTATTTACTGAGCTGTACACTGATTTAAGTATATAGGTCACTGACATACTTCCTGTACTCCATACACATGCCAAAACATGCTTGTATACCAAATCTTGTTAGTCCAGATGAACTAGTTTTCCTAAAATCGTCCTGGTAGTTAAGGAAGAGTTGTAGGACAAAGAATTTTAACAAAGGGCCATAACTTAAAATACTAGCCTGATGCACGACATCAAAGGGTAATCACCATGAATTACCATAACTGTTATCTTTCATTAATATCGGCCAAGTAGTTTAGAAGGCAGAAAACAAAGGGTCATAAGTCCGTTTTAAAGAGTCAGAATGAAAAAATACTACTTGGACGCACAACATCAGGGGGTACTTATCATATCTGAAATTGGCCCCATAGTTTGGAAGAGTTGTCCAGACAGGGATTTTTTAACAAAAGGCCATAACTTCGTAAAAAGGGGTCAGAAGTATAAATAATATTTTAACAAAGGGCAATTACTTTGGGGGAAAATCAGAATGAAAAGATAATACCTGGAAGCACAACATCAGGTGGTAGTTATCATATTTTTTTTAAAAATCGTTGAAATTGGCCCCGTAGTTTTTGAGGAGTTGTCCGGACAAGGATTTTTTAACAAAGGGCCATAACTTCGTAAAAAGCGGCCAGAATAAAAAATAACAAGACAATTCGGCGAATTATAGTCCCCAACCGAATGTAAAATGCATATGTGATAAATTTGTGAAGGAACTAATTCTATATATGAATGGTTGACAGACCCACTGTATTCAATAAGGAATAGTGTCAGTGACCTGGTCAAAACAGAGTGACCTACTTTGATATGCGACACACCGCCTCACCAAGATGAACCCATAATCCAAGTATAAAGTTCCAGTGACTAGTAGTGTAGGAGATAAGAGTCCGGACAAACTTTTTCTTTGATGCAGATCAAAGGTCAAAATGTAGGTCAGAGTGTAGTGTATGAGATAGAGCCCGGACAAGATAGCGGAAGGACGGACAGAAGGACCTAAGGACGGATGGACACGACGCAAAACTATAGTCCCCCCCCCCCCCCCGGTTCCCAGGGGAGGGGGCTAATAATACCTGGATGCACAACTTCAAGTGGTAGTTATTTCTTGAAACTTTCGTTGAAATCGGTCCATAACTTAAGGAGTTGTCTGTACAAACTTTTTCTACCGACGGACAAACTAATTCTAGCATACCCCCTTCGTTGCGGGGGGGGGGGGGTATAAAAAGAGATTGTCATTTTTTTGGACAAATTGTACTTTTCATAAGTTGTAAAATTCAGGTGAAGAAACCAAACAACGTTAAATCCTACTATCTCAAGGTATCACAATCAGATCTTCAATCCAGCACACGAGTCTTTATTGTGAACAGCTCATTCGCTGTACTGTGGGGGTGCCAGATGATGTAACGAGGCTAGATTAACGTTACCGCACGTAGTAAAAATTCTTAGTTTTAAATATTTTTTTATAGTACATTTAATGCCCTTATGTTTTATGATACATGTATATATCTCAATTTACAGTCAGAATTTCAAACACTTCGTCCTGTGATGTTAACACCAAATAAGATTGCTATCTAACACTAGTGGCACATTTCCATTTTATTATACTCTGATCTATTATCTTTTACTTCAGAGCATCTGTTGAGCGCTAAAACATTTTCATTTCATCAAATGCTACTGACAAGATTGCATAGTCAATTGGATAGAATAACAGGCAAAGCCTATAAAAATTATCTCCGTCAAATGGCCAAAGTAGATTAAACAATGAGACATAATATTTTAGACATGTTAGAAATGAAAATTTTAACACAAAATAATTCATATTAACAAAAGGCTAAGGGGAAGTAACTCGTGAAGGAAACATCTCGCACACCTAGTACATGTACAAATACATTAATTTCAGCATATATATACACAATCATATACAGATATTGGTAGACTTAGGCGAAAAGTCCATGTGCTTATATCGCACAGGTCACTGCTACCAACAACTGTTACAACTAAGAATAATAAATTCATTGAATACATATAGAGTGTAATTATTTTCAATGTCAAGATAAGTTCATGTAATACGTTTTCAAGTAGAAAAAACGAACATGATCTGAGAACTCACCTTCTATTTGTTTTGGCAACCGCCAACTTTTAAACAGTCCCATCTTTTTTTCAGCGTACAGGCTACACCATCCTCAATATCCAAGGGGTAACGCTAACTTCGCTCTCGGCACGAAGTGAGCATAACTCCTGGAGTATCGAGGATGGATGAACCCGAGAATAGGCAGTCTGGTTCTACTCGCAATATTGATCAAGCAGTCAAAGATGGTGACTGAGACAGTGGGGGCACGCTCGAGGATCCCACGTGACACAGTATGGTGTGAAAGTCTGTCAATGAGGGGTTATATTTACCTCCTTGTTCTGGTTATCCCGAGCCTAGGACACACATAAAAGATACACCTGCGGATGGAGGTCAATATATAGATTGTTTGTACCTATGTGATTAAGAAAGTTATGTATACACTCATGGATGGTGTAGTCAAAGTTAAGTGTGTTATACTTACATTCCAAATTATATGAGGAGCACACCCAAGGATGGGGAATCCCCGGGGTCCCGCGACTCCCTCCTTTCTCATTCGGCGCACCCACCAACTATTGTATCTGACGGTACAGAGAAAAGCATTAAATCAGACTTCAATACAATCAAAGTCTGTAAATACACCTGTAAAAAATCTGGGGTTTTCCTGTTTATTTTTCAATTAAATGAAATTTACCGCCTTTCTTTTCTTATATTTTGAAATCACTGGATGCCTTTATAATTGTTTAAATGTTCATTATGTCCATCGGAAAAAAATCTCGTTTGGTTACTTTATCGCACAACTATCAACCGCTATTGCACCCTGTTGCCCTTTTGTTTATGTAACACAATCTTAATGAATTTGTAGTGCCTAGCCCTTGTCCGGGCTATTGTATGAGCTTAGCTAAAGGTGTATTTATGGCAAGCCAAGTTGTCATTTATTCATGGAGCAATGTTGATCTAGTACTTAACCAAATAACCAAACAAACATATAAGATATCTTATTTAAAGTTTATGAGATATCTTATATCTTTTATAAGATATCTTATATACTTTATAAGATATCTTATATCTTTTATAAGATATCTTATATAATATATAAGATACCTTATAAAAGATATAAGATACCTCATAAGCTTTTCTTTATAAGATATCTTATATATTAATATATTAGATATCTTATATCTTTTATAAGATATCTCAATTAACTTTCTTTATTAGATATCTTAAATCTCAAAATTGCTTCATGAATAAATGGCATCTTGGCTTACCATAGTTATAGTAGTTTCAATTTGATAACTGGTACCATAGGCAGCCATTTTCGATCAAATCCTCTCGGACTCCTTCGGTTATCGAAAGGTTCCGAGCGCCGTGAGGGGGGGGGGGGGGGGGGGGGGGGGGGGGGGGGGGGTGTATTATCTCAAATTCAAATCTCGTTCTTTATAAGATATCTTATAGCCAAATTATATAAGACATCTTGTTTAATTTTGTTTATAAGATATCTTATATAATATATAAGATTATTTTTTTTATAAGATCTCTTATATCTTTTATGAGATATCTTACATAATATATAAGATATCTTAAAAAGAAAAGTATATAAGATATCTTATATAATTTGGTTAAGTACTTGATCAACATTGCTCCATGAATAAATGACAACTCTGCTTGCCATATGTATTCAAAACAAAGGACGAAAATAAGTGGTACCAAGAACTGTTAAATGATTTAGGAAAAACTAATGGAAATAAATTGTGTACGTACCGTACCTTTAAATATGTTCTTACTCCAGAATCATATATATATACTATTGTTAATTTTAAGCATAGGCAAACATTAGCCTAGTTCCGTTGCGGTAATTTGAAATTGAAAATTGAGACTGGCCGGTATTCCCACCCTCTTTAGCGTTAAATGAGAGGAAATGTATTTTATGTCAGTCATGATCGGTAGAAGACGAGCGCCATTTTTTAATAGTTTGCGAGTTTTATTTAGTGACGCAACTAAGTATTTCCCAGTTCTTTAGAATAAGACCCCTATACACAATTTTATTGACTTATGACAATTGATGATCTTCAACGCTTTTTAGCTTCTTTACTATATTTGTTGTATCGCAGAAGATCTTGTTCTACCTGTGCTTAACAGAACTTTGTACTATAGAGTGTCTCATACGTCAAACTGGCTGGATGGCAATATATTTTAATGCAATTCGTGATGTATACCTGTAATACTGACACGTGATGTATACCTGTAATACTGACACGTGATGTATACCTGTAATACTGACACGTGATGTATACCTGTAATACTGACACGTGATGTATACCTGTAATACTGACACGTGATGTATACCTGTAATACTGACACGTGATGTATACCTGTAATACTGACACGTGATGTATACCTGTAATACTGACACGTGATGTATACCTGTAATACTGACACGTGATGTATACCTGTAATACTGACACGTGATGTATACCTGTAATACTGACACGTGATGTATACCTGTAATACTGACACGTGATGTATACCTGTAATACTGACACGTGCCACGCTAATAAAATCTATCTTATTGTATTTGTTTTTACAGAAGATTGTCTCGATAATGCAACATGTATGAGAATAAATGCCAGAATATATAATATTACCATGCTTTATTGATGTTATCTCTTAAAAAAATGAAAACCTGTTCTGTTGAATACAACTTTTCACGGTCAATGTACATAGCCTGTCAGATAGTCCGACGACAGACCGATATAAAAAAAAAGTTGATAAAACGTCAGAATAATTCGGACTACCTGTCAGGGGACATCAGGTAGCAGCATACAGTAGAAATGGCCCGACTCTGATAAACAAGGCACATGTCAAGGAAATGTAAACACAGCGGATTTACCCTACACAACACATGTATACATGTACATATATTTGTAAACTGCATTACATTTACAATACATATAAAGTACTGAAAAGTGTATAAACCTCTTTTTTCTATGTATGTCACTTGTGTGAAAACCATGGATACGTACCACATCAGAAATTACCAAAATATGCCAAAAATTGCTATTTTTGACCCAAAATTTGACCCCCACAACTAGTATTTTTTTTCCTAAGTTCTGTCTGAAATTAAAGATTACCTACTTGGTTGCAGAATTATCTGGGTCCCAGTGAAGTTGTCAAACTTGACTTTTTGCAATTTTGCGTCGTGTGCTGTTGTCAAAATTTTACCTCCTGTAAAGCTAGCTTTTCATGTGTAGGCCCCCTTTCGGATTATGGACAAAAGTTTGATCTCGAACCAAAAACTTTTTTTTTTTTTTTTACAAATGTGAAGCTCACATAGCCCACTTCATCATGCTTATACCAATTTTAGTACAGTTTTATTTTTATATTTTTTTTACACGAAAGGAAAGTGACGATTTGTTTCTAAAAGATCAGTTTGAAGTGCGCTCCGGGCGCAGGTCGCATATTTCCCGCATTTTATAGAGGGCCGGAGTTCTGACGTTAATCGACGACAGACCGATATGAAAAAAGTTGATAAAACGTCAGAATAGTTCGGACATTAACGTGGTAAGATTAGGACAGACAACAGCCTGCTTAAATCGTATTCATATCATCTTTCATCAACAAAAAACTTATATGCTTTATACATTTTTCTCTGGAATTCTTGGTGTGTTACCCTCCACGCATTAGATGATAGTACAATGTATAATTGATTTAATAAAATATTTCAGGTTAGTTCCGCTATAATCTGGTCGACTCTAGTCATTAGTAAGTCCCTGTCGAAGTGCTGAAGCTTTAAGGCCTATTAGGTGGGATACTCACATGTAGATGAGTGTCAGAGCGCCGCAACCCAGGGCCACGGTGATGCCCCATCCTCCCAGGAAACTCGTCTCATCCATGGTACCACAGATAAAGAATCTGTACCACAGCTAACAAGGGACACCAAAAAACGATAGTGTACTGTGTGCTTTCCTTTACACGGTCATACTGATGCGTCCGATAGTGTGGAAAGACTGGCACAGCTACAGACCAATAACGACAATACAAGAACCATATGTTAATTCGAATGTCTTTCAGTATGCTTTATCATACATTGAAGACAGTTAAATTTTATGCTCGATCATACCTATGTGCGGTGTCTCTTTAGAACTAAGGTCAAAGTGAGAGCACCGTATAAAGGCAGGCAATGACGCATCAACAATACATGAAGCGCCTGCGCATGTCAGAATAATAAACCCCGTGAGATTGATTACGGTTGTCATCATGCGGAAATTAAAGGTCCTAACAAGTGCACATGTATTTACGATCATATACATACAATTGTTGACGGAGGGGCATTTGGAATGTTTCAAACAGGGTCATATTGTTTCTCTCTAATTGAAAAATAAACGACTAAAACTTTTAAATAGGATCTGGTTATATACCGTAAACCAGGCACGCGTTGTCTACGTCATCTCACTTACGCTTGGTGTTTGTACCTTGATATTGACTTTTGGACAGCCATTTAGACACTCGCCAACATGCTCGCGGTACATACAACCTGTATTATAGGGCATTATTCTGTTAGTGTCACGAGCTACTAGGTAAATAGATCACGTAAATTTATATCGAGACACGGGTACTCGCATAGGTAGATGTTTTGGCATGTAAATCTCGGTGATTAGTTAAGTGCCTATCAAGTACATATTTGATAACGAATTCACAGTATGGTCCAACCGTTTTGATCGCGTTAACGTGGCTCCACACATCGTCATCAGCGTCCATTTTTGTGACGTACTTCCGGAAAAAGTACAGCTCGGACTCAATTATCTTGATTGAAATGTGCATGTACACCGTGTCGTCATTTCCGTATTGCGTATCGGGCATTCAGTGTCGTTGTGCAAATTATAGTTACACCTTGACCGTTTTCGTTTAAACGGTCAAACCGATCGGACCACTGTTGTGAGTGCACATGAGAACGGCATACCATGCGATAGCCTCTGGTCACATATGTACCTGACATGTAATTATAAACATACCGTGAGTTAGCGGACTGTGGAATGATGTCCAAAGTGTACATGACTGAGGGTAATTTGGTTCCATTAAAGAACAATAAATTGATAATTTTGATATCATATTTTTGATTTATTTCCATCATTTTTGTTATATGTAAACAGGGACAACTGTCATTGTGTAAATGTCACCCCTCTGCAAAAAGTTCCGATTTTTTTCAAGGAAGATAACTCTTACCCGGATCGAAGTGATTGTAAAATGTAAAATAAATTAATTATAAAGCCATTGTGTATATTTTGTTCAATTTCCCATTCTATATGTATAGATCTTTGTGTCCTGTTTGCTTTTTGATTGTAGATAATCACTTTTATCCGTTCAAATTCAATAAAAAACACTTTGTGTAACATGTGTTACATATTTTGCGATAAATAAAATATTTGTAGGGTTAATTAGAAATGCTTCTTTTCATTTTATTATTGTTGTTATTGTTCCGAACAATGTCACACCAAAAAAACCCCGGAAAATATTAAAATTGACGAAAATTCAATTTTTTGGTATTTTTTCCAAAAAAGTCCCCTAACTATCGGAGTGTTAAAATCAACTCTACATAGTTGCATAACCATTATATGAAAGTTTCAACGAATTTCGCTGGTTAATTACGAAAGTGTGTAGCCACCTTAATTAAACGGATGAAGTTTTTCGGAAATAATTTGCACTAAAGTATTTTTGTAAATGTCTTTATTGTAAAATTACATACCTGTATTTGTTATATTGATTACGTATATCATTCATCGATTGATTATAAGTATTGGTTATTAATAAAATCAACACCTGTTAGTGCTATGTCCAACAGCATTTCATACCAAATTTATGAACTCGAATACTCGGATAACTCGAAGTTTTTTCACGACCTCGACGACTTCTAGATAACAAGGTTCGACTGTATCTCAAAGCATCTTAAAGATGGAAGGCTGCAGTTTTATTTTGCTATGTAATAATAATAATAATATACAGCATTTATATAGCGCCCTATATAATTTGTAAAATTACTCTAAGGCGCTTTACAACATATGGATAATAGTAATGGTTATAATTGTGAAAACAAACAACAAAGGCTTGCAATCACTTTCATGCATTTAACAAGCAATGTGCACATAATTGAACAAATGAAAGGGTGGTATTTACATGACGTCTTTGCAAAGATTCTAAAATGCAGACGTGAA